TGAATATATATACATACATATATATATATATATATATATATATATATATGTATATATATACTGCAAAAACAAGAGAAGAGGAAGGTTCAGATGGAAACAGGCTGCAAGACGGTAGCACCACATTCCACACCACGTTCCACACCACAGCCTGCTGAGGTATCAGGGCACACACATGTATGACCTGTCCAAAGTGGGCATTCAGTGCCAGCTGAGAATTCAGGAGCCATAACTGCCAGATCTGAAGGTCCAAGAGAACTCAGAAATCTATACTTTTTATGGAAAACTGAAAAGACTTTAAATACCTCAGGGCAAGAGGCCTTCATGCTAACAGTCAGCCCTCCAACACCAGATACAACTTTTATGCCATCATTCAACCTCTGCTCTAGTACTGTGACAGAGCTCACTCCTTTCAGAGGAACTTTGGGACTAGCTCTGGCATTGATGATTTTGCTTTTATTAAGGAACTAGAATCTGCCTTTTGTAATTTCATTCATTAGAACAGACACACAAAAAAATAAAGCCAGGCATGTGTGGTGCATGCCTGTAATCCTAGCACTTGGGAGGCTGAGGCAGGAGGACTACTGAGTTCCAGGCCAGCCTGGGTTACAAAACTAGATTCTAACTTAAAAAAACAAAACATGGGGCTGGGAGAGATGGCTCAGCAGTTAAGAGCACTGACTGCTCTTGCAGAGGACCCAGGTTTGATACCCAGCACCCACATAGTGGTTAACAACCTCCAGTTCCAGGGGACCTGACGTCTTCTTCTGACCTCCTCAGGCATTGCATGACACGGGTGCACTTACACACATGTAGACAATATACTCATACACATAAAATAAAAATAATAAGTAAAATTTAAAAAACAAACAAAAATACCTTTATATTAATATTGGAATTTTGGAATTACACTGTCCTAGGTATTCTCCTATCTCTACTACCTAACTATAGAATTACATTCTTCTAAATGTTTTTCTATCTCTACTACCTCACTTGAACTTTTCATCAGCCTTATGGACAGGTAGGACAAATAGATTTCCATTGCTCTTTCCCTCTGACACAAAGTCTGAAACCTTGTAATAAGTGAGACAACTATGTTTCACTATCTCCAGGATTACACATTTCCTGTAAGTTGAAATGAAATATTTTAATACCTTGTGGTACTGGAGGGCTCAGTGGGGGGAAATCCAAAGGCATTGACATGAAACACTTGATCTTCAAACCAACCTAAAAAAATGATAAGAAACAAATCACTTTCTTTTCTCCAGTTTTTCTTGTTTGAAAAGAAAAATCCATGTTACATAAAGCAATAGTCTCATGTCCTAAAAATTAACTACAGAAGTTGCCGAACACACTGAGCACTCCGACTTCAGAGCCATGAATAGTCTAAATTTTATAAATAAAACTATTAAACAGGTGTGGTGGTGCACATCTTTAATCCCAGCATTTGGAGAGGCAGGTGCATCTCTGTGAGTTCAAGGCCAGCCCAGTCTACATAGTGAGTTTCAGGTCAGCCAGGGCTACAGGGAGACACTGTCTCAAAAAGGCCAAAAAGAAAAACAAAACAGAAAAACTACTGAACATGCACACCCCACACATACACGCCATCAAACAGAAATAGGCTCCAAAGTAAAGCTTTTCTCTTGTATATGTGTGCTGGTGGTTCACAGCACATGCTGGAGTACAGAGAGATTAGCTACACACAAAGAAGATGATTTATCATGCCACCCTATGTAAAGTTCAAAGGCTTTTTCCAATTTTATGAGATACAGTTCACATATCACACAACTCACCATTTTTAGAAGTTGTGCAGCTATCTCCACTACCTAATCTCAGATTATTTCTTCATCCCCCAAAGGTTTCTAATAATCTATTTCAAAAGAGCTACCTTTGGTGTCAAGGACACAGTCTCATAAAGAATGTTCTCCTAAACTGTATCAGGTTAACATATCTTACCCAATGGACAAATGGTTTTACTGTACAGCACTATGGACAGGAAAAGGGCAAAGCACTCACCTTCTGCTAAGACAAAGCAGGCCTCTGTGTATAATCCACTGTGGAACTGGTATACATCAGCTGAGGAAAAGAATGCTCTGTCTATACTTGAAGCAGGGATAAAGTCAACATACACTCTGGACCCCAAAGGGCTTTTAGCTTTGTTTGTTTCAGATTTCTTTTAGGGAGCTATATTGATGTTTGGAGGGAGTACTGATTCTTTGCTTTGTACTTTTTGGGGGGAGGGCTGAAATACGTAGCCCAGGCTGGCCTTAAACACTTGATCATCCTGCCACTGCTGCTTTTTAAAAAATGTCTTTATGCCAGGTGTGGTGACGCACACCTTTAATCCCAGCACTCAGGAGGCAGGGGCAGGTGGGTCCCTGTGAGTTCAAGGCCAGCCTGGAGTACATAGTGAGTTCCAGGACAGCTGGGGCTACAAGGAGACCCTGTCTCAAAAAGACCAAAAAAAAAAAAAAAAAAAAAAAAAAAAGAAAAAAAGTCTTTATTTTTATTTTATGTGTATGAGTGAGTGTTTGCCTGCATGGTTGTAGTGTATCACATGTACGCAGTGCAGTGCTCATGGAGCGTGTCAGATTCTCTTACAAATGATTGTTAGCCACCATTTGGGTGCTGGGAAGTGATGCCCCCCCGATAAAAGAGCCTTAAGAATTGTTAACCACAGAGCAATCTCTCCACCCCCATGCCTCTGCTTCTTGAGTGCCAGGATTATAAATATGCACACATCATGCCTGGCTTCAAAAGGACTTTATAAACTGTGCCAACAAGATGGCTCAGCAGGTAAAGGTGATTGTTGGCAATACTGAAAACCTGAGCTCAGTCTCCAGGACCCACATGGTAGAAAGAGAGAATGGACTCCCCCAAGTTGTCCTCTAACCTCAACACATGTTCATGCAAACACACATACATATAAACACAATTTTTTAAAAAAGGATTCTTTTTTGGGGGGCGGTTCTTTTTGAGACAGGGTCTCCTTGTAGCCCCAGCTGGCCTGGAACTCACTATGTAGACCAGGCTGGCCTTGAACTCACAGAGATCTGCCTGCCTCTGCCTCCCAAGTACTGGGATTAAAGGCGTACACCACCATGCCCGGTGATATTTTTAATTTATGTATATGTGTGTGTCTGTGTGCCACATGTGTGTGGGTACCCTCAGAGGCCAGAAAAGGGCATTAGATCGTCCTGGAACTCGTTACAGGTGGTTGTGAGCTGCCTCATGTGGGTGTTAGGAACTGAACTAGGGTCCTCTGGAAGAGCATCAAGTGTTCTTAACTGCTGAGCCATCTCTCCAGCCCCTAAATAAATGGAATTTTATAATAAACTGAAAAACCTCACATTTAAAACTGAGTCATCCATAGCTTAGATCAAAGCTTTTAAGTTCTTAGGCTTAAATACTGACAGTATAGATCATTCTTAGAATTTTATAAATTTCACCAATAAGAAAAGAAGTTTTGTCTCTGTTGAGGATTATGTCTCTATATTCCTATGGTACCACCATACAGAAGTTATAGTGGACACCCAAAATGACAAATTATGAGAATGACATAAAAGCCATTTCCCCAGTTCATGTAGCATAAGTATTTTATCTATCGATTATCTCTCTACCTATCTATCTATCTATCTATCTATCTAATTTTTTAGTGCTAGGGATCAAACCCAGGGTATCACATATACTAGACAAGTGTTCTCCCACTGAGTTAAACTCCCAGCCCTGTAACATAGATTTTATTTTTTATTTTACATGTTTTACCTGCATGTTTACCATTTGCATGCAATGCCTGCAGAGGCCAGAAGAGGGCATCAGAGCCCCTGGAACTGGAGTTACAGATGGTTATAGCCACTAAATGGGTGCTAAGAAAGGGACCTGGGTCCTCTGCAAGAGCAGCCAGTGCTCTTGACCACCTGGCTGTCCTGGAACTCACTATGTAGACAGGCTGACCTCAAACTCACAGAGGTTCACCTATCTCTGCCTCCTGAGCATTGCAATTAAAGGCATTCACCACTATGCCTAATTTAACATAGTTTTTGTAGTTTGTTTATTTATTTGTTTATTTATTGATTGATTGATTGATTGATTGATTGATTGATTGATTGATTATTTTGAGACAGGGTCTCCCTATAGCCCCCGATGGCCTGGAACTCGTCATATAGACCAGGCCTATAGATTTTTTAAAAATATTTTATTATTTTTATTTTATGTGTATGAATGTATTGCCTGCATGTATGTAAAAGCACCTATGTTGTGCAATGCTGCAGAGGTCAGAAGAGGGCATCGGATTCCCCTGGAACTGGACTTAAGGACGGTTCTTAGCCGCCATGCTGGTGCTGGGAATCGAACCCAGGTCCTCTGCAAGAGCAGTCAGTGCTCTTAACCACTGAGCCATCTCTCTAGCCCCTAGATTTTTTTTTAAGTGAAGGATATAGCTTTACTAAGATCCAGCTGTACTGTTCCAGTAGGATCTTCCAGAAAAAATTTCCCCTAAAACAGAATTAAATGAAGCATATCAATATCTATGTAAAAATGAATACTATTACAAATAATTAATATACTAACAAGTTTGACAACTGAACACAGAAACAGTGGATTTGTAAACAGTAATCCCTAGTCCAGACTTCTATGCTTACTTTTTGGCAACCTCAGCCTAAACCCTTAGCTGAGACTCAGACTCCTCACAGGCACTGAGGACTGTCTGCTGCAGACCAAGAGGTGACAAGGAGGACCTTGGCTGGTGGCCAATAGACCTCACCGGTGTCTTCAGCTAAGAGTGGCAGTGTCTGCCCAGTACCGGGATGTGGTCAGCAGCCTGCTCATTCAGAAATCCAGTGCTCAGTTCCACCAGAGACCACTAGGAGCCTAATTTCAGGATATGCAAATTGAACACCTGAACCAGATAGTCTAGTCGCAACAAAAAACTGAACACAGGTGGAAAAGGTTACTTGGCGACAGTTTCATTAAAGAATGTTTCTGTGCTTTCTATAGAAATGTGCTACCACATCAACGCTTCACCAACCCAAGTCCAAAAATAAAAACCGATGCATACCAAATTTAACTTACCTCTTTCAACTGAGTTATCATTCCAAGAACAATCACATCTCCAACTTTAGTTGTACTGCCCAATAAGGTTTCTATTGTTTTAAGCTAAAATAAAACAAAATAAATCCTTAAAGATTAAAAATATATTCTAATCTTTTTATAAATATTTAAGTTTTGTTTCTTTTGTTTTGGTCTTTTTGAGACAGAGTCTCCCTGTAGCCCCAGCTGTCCTGGAACTCACTATGTAGACCAGGCTGGCCTTGAACTCACAGGGACCCACCTGCCTCTGCCTCCTGAGTGCTGGGATTAAAGGCGTGTGCCACCATGACCGATTATAAGTACACAGCTGCTTTACATTAGAAAGGCTATTTTAATTAGCAAATTTAATTTTATCCTGCAAATAGCTAAAATACCAAATGTACGGACTAGAAATATCACTAAAAAGTCAAGCTTGGTGACCCATGCCTGCAACCCCAAGCACTTGGGCAGGGGAGTAACTGGCTATTGAAACCACTGTTTCTTTTAGTAACAAGTTTTCCCCACAATGAATACAGTACAATTTAGTTTAACAAGTTTGTGGTCATCAAGAGAGGGATGGGTAGCCTCTACTATTTTGTAACTGAGGGCATGAAGGGTAATGTTGAAAAGCTGGTCAGAAGTTAATACACAGACTTGGAGGACAAGTGACCATCTTGGAAGTCAGAAGCCATGTGAGAGGTGCCCTGGCGCCAAGTCTGCGTCAAAGAAGGCAGAAGTAATTTCTGCTGGAGATCTATGGAATTCATAATACTAAGCGTGGACATTATCAACAACAGGCATGCAGCCAGGCTGGACAGCTAGTTAAACAGACACACAAGTTTGTTTTCACTTAAAATTCAACAAATTAAGAAAAGCCAAGCAGGTAGGATGTCAGTGGGGAAAAGCATTTGCCAGCAAGTCTGATGTTCTGAGTTCAATTCCCAGGTCCCACATGGTAAAAGGAGAGAACTGATTCCTACAAATTGTCCCCTAACCTCCATAAGCATCATGGCACACATGCACAGGTGTGCACACATGTGTACACACACAAATAAATAAATGTACAAAAAAGTAACCATAAATATTGCACTTGCATATTACTATACACCCCCAAAATAATTAAGACAATGTCCTCACCTGGAATTTGCTTCCACTCTCATCAGGGTGAGCACCTATCACTGGAGGAGTAAACAATTCATGCCTGTGGGTCCTCTACAAAAGAGAAAGATCCAGATGAATTACTGAACCAGACATTTAAAACTGAGTCATTCAAACAGTACAATGAAACACTGTCCTTACATTGTTACTGCTGTCTATCCTCTGTACTGAAAACCCAAATAAACAGCATATCAATACCTAGCAACTCCCCACCACAAACCCAGGGCCTTGCACTGGCTAGGCAAGCGCTCTCCCACCGAGCTAAGCCCCCAACTCCTACAGCAACTTTTAAAACACAAATTAGTAAAAAGCTAAGCACTGAGGCTAGTGAGAAAAATTCACCAAACAACACAGCACCGAGGGCTGGATGAACACCAGGCCAAAGAGATCATTTGACAAGACCCCCAATGATAAAAGGTGGTGGGTGAAAAACAAAAAGATGACACAAGACATTTCAGGCCAAGAAACGGAGGTGTCCAAGGAAAGCATGTGAGTAAAGCAGTATTTGGGAAGCGCTGCATACTAGTTACTTTTCTCATCCATTCCTACAACCAAACACCTGACAAAAAGCAGCTTTAAAGAGGAAGGACTTATTTTGGTTCACAGTACAGAGGACTACAGCCCACCACAGCCAGGAAGAAGCGAAGGGGGAATGCCAGGCTCAGGTGCTCGGCTCATTTTCTTCTTTTTATTCAGTCCAGAAATACAGCCCAGGGGATGGTGCTGTCCACATTGGAGTGAGGAGGAAGAGGACAAATCACTTAATCCTCTCTGGAATGTCCCTGGCAAACACACTCAATGAAGTGCCTAAGCATTTCTTAATCTAATCAGGCTTACAAGCAAAATTAACCATCAGTCTACAGACACGCCTGATCTTGAACACACCTTGTCAAAAATTACTCATCACACCATACAAAGTTTAGTGAAATAAGAATTTGTTTAAAGGATAATGTTTTGTTTTTAATCTTTTTTGAGACAGGGTCTCCTTGTAGCTCTACTATGTAGACCAGGCTTGCCTGGAACTCACAGAGATCCACCTGCCTCTGCCTCCTGAGTGCTGGGATTAAAGGCGTGCCACCATGCCAGGCGAAAAGATGTTCTAAAGGGAGCTGAGAAACAGAAAAAGACAGATGCCTCATGACTTATATGAACACCTGGATCCACCCAGGCTTGAAACCACAGACTTCTAGGCTTCCTGCAATACAGGCCAAGCTAATATAGTCCTTTTTTGGTTTTAGTCAGTTTGAGTTCTTTGCAATCCTCAGTTAAAAGAATTCTTACAGGAGCTGGAGATACACACACCAGGCCCTGGGTTTGATCCCTAGCAGCATATAAAAGATAAGCATGGTAGTACATGTCCATAATCCTAGCACTCTAGAGGCAGAAACCAGAAGATCAGAAGTTCAAGATTATCCTACACAGTGAGTTTGAGACCAGCCTGGGATACATGAAATCCTGTCTGGAAAAAAAAGATTTTTTAATATTTTACTTATTATTTGTATTTTTAAAAATGTGTATGAATATATTGCCTGCATGTATGTAAGTGCACCTGTGTTGTACAATGCCTGTAGAGGTAAGAAGAGGGCATCAGATCCCCTGGAACTGGAGCTATGGACAGTTGTTAGGTGCCATGTGGGTGCTGGAAATTAAAGTCAGGTCGTCTGTAAGAACAGCCAATGCTCTTAATGGCTGAGTCATCTTTCCAGCCCCCTGAAAATTTTTTGAAGTAGAATAATGATAAAATCAGATTTATTTTCAGGAAGGCAACTCTTGTAAATCACAGGTGAGAAAAACAAAGCTCAGAAGGCTAAAGTGATACACTCAAGATAATAGTGTAGATTTAAAAACATACTGGGAACCAAACTGGATCCTCTGCAAGAGCAGTAAGTCGCTCTTAATTGCTGAGCCACCTCTCCAGCCCTGACTTTAGAACATAGTAAGAGGATCTGGGAATGGCTATACATGCCATTAATTCTAGTTCTCAGGAAACTGAGGCAGGAAAGTCTTGAGTTTGAGGCTAACCTGGGCTACACAGTAGGGTTAAGGCCAGCCTTACTTCTATAGAAAATGCATATCTCAAACAAACAAATAAGAAAGAACATAAAAAAGAAATGTGGTATTTATTGTTCCATAGATAAAGAGCATACATAGCACTATAGCAAATGTAAATAAATAAAAAGCTTGTGGTATGGGAAGAAGGTAAAGCAGGCTGAATGCAAGGCAAGACCAATTCTAGTAAGTCACAGAGAAGATGCCTGCCAGCTCAGTGGGCCTGAATACAAAACTGCATCCAAATGGAGATCAAGAAAGACCTCAAATGAAAGATATCTCATGTTCCTAGATTGGCAGATTTAATACTGTGAAAATGGCTATATTACCAAAAGCAACCTATAGATCCAATACAATCCCCATTAAATCCCAATGGCCCTAAAGTTCCTATGGAAACATAAAAACCCTGAATAGTCACAGCAATACTGAGCAAGAATAATGCTAAAAGAATAATGCTACCTGATTTCAGGTTATCTTACAGAGCCATAGTAACAAACCAGCATGGTACTGGGGCAAAACCAGACATGCTGACCAACAGAATAAAATGTAGGATCCAGAAACGAACCCATGCAGCTACAGCCACCTAACTTTCAAATGGTGCCAGAAATATACAATGGAGACAGCCTCTCCAACAAATGGTGCTGCAAAAACTGAATATCCATAAAGAGAAGAATGAAACCAAATCCATACCTCTCTCCTGTACAAAAATTAGTTCACTGTGATCAAAGACCTTGGCAGAAGTGAACCTTTGAAACTACTAGAGGAAAACAGAGAAACTACTTCAAGCCATAGGCATAGGTAGCAACTTTCTAAATAAAACTCATAGCTCAGGTTATAATAACAAAATGAACAAATGGGATTACATCAAATGAAAGCTTTGGAGGGGCTTGGGGGAAGGCTCAGTGGGCAAGAGCACAAGCATGAGGACCTGAGTCCAGATCCCTCACATCCACCTAAAAAGCTGCCTGTGGCTGTGCACATCTGTAAGCTCTGTGCAGGGAGGAGGAAGAGACAGAAACAGGAGACTCAGTGGGGCTTGCTGGCCATTAGCCCAGCTGAAAAAAACCAACAAGCTCCAGGTTCAGTGAGAGACCCTATTTCAAGGGAATAAGGCAGAATGATAGAGGAAGGCACTCAACATCTGCCTCTGGGTTCCACATAGGAATGCATAGGCACTCTCTCACGCGTGCGTGAACGCATGCGTGCATACACATCCTATACACACACATCTCCACATACACAGCTTCAGAACAGAAAAGAAAGGAATTATTAGAATGAAGAGACAGCCTACAGAACAGAAGAAAAACATTTGCCTGCTATTTATATGACAAGGGATTCACATACAGACTATATAAAGAATTCAAAAAATTAAAGACCAAAAGAACAAATAATTCAATGAATAAATTGACACATGAATTAAATAGTTTTCAAAACAAGAAATACAAATGAGCAACAAGGCTGGGAGTGGTAGCTTACACCTGTAATCCCAGCACTTGGGAGGCTGAGACAGGAGGACCAAACGTTTGAAGGCAGTCTAGGCTACAGAAGGAGTTCCAGGCCAGCCCAGGCTATTGAGTGAGACATTTGCTCACAACACACAAATGCATACTTGCGAGACACACACACACACACACACAGAAAAAAATACACTAGAAAATGTTCAACATCCAAGCCGGGCATGGTGGTGCACGCCTTTAATCCCAGCACTCAGGAGGCAGAGGCAGGTAGATCTCTGTGAATTCAAGGCCACCCTGGTCTACATAGTGAGTTCCAGGACAGCTGGAGCTACAGGGAGACCCTGCCTCAAAAAGACAAAAAAAAAAAAAAAAAAAAAAAAAAAAAAAAAAGTTCAACATCCTAAGCCATAAAAGAAGTACAATCAAAGGCTGGCAAGATTGCTCAGTGGGTAAAAGTACTTGCAGCTCAAGCCTATCAACCTGGATTTAATGGATCCCAACTAAAGGTAGGAGAGAACCAACTCCACAAAGTTGTCATCCACACAAGGGCTATGGCATATGTACCCCTCACATATACATCATGCACACATATACAATAATAATACATAAAAATTTTAAAAAGAAATGTAAATCCAAACTACACCCAGGTTCTATCTTATCTCAATCAGAATGGCTATCACCAAGAAAACAACAAATTTTAGTGAGAATTCTGGGGGAAGAGATGGATATGCAGACACAGCCCTTATACATTGTAGGTGGGAATGCAAATCAGCCCAACAACTATGGAAATCAGTGTGGAAGCTTGATAAGAAACTAAAAATAGAACAACAGGACAACCAAACTACCAGGCTGGGGTTAGCTCAATGTGAAAGCACGCTGGGTCAATCCCAGCATCACACACACAAAAAGAAAGCAAGCTAAAAAGAACTATATAACCATGCTGTGTGACTCCAGGGTACACACCAGAAGGAAGCAAAGCCAGTATACATATACAATGGAACATTATTCAGACACAAAGAATAACACTGTTTTCAGAAATGTGGATAGAACTGGAGATCATTTTAAGCTAAATAAGCCAGACCCAGAAGGATGAATTATTGAATGTTTCTCATATGCAGAACCCAGTCTTTCTCTTCCAAAGGTATGAGAGTAGCAGAGGGATCATAGAGGAGGGGTGGAAAAGAGAGGTTAAAGATATCAAAGTACATGATACACATGTATAAAGATGTCACAATGAAACCCATTGTTTTATACATATTATAGCCACTAATAAAAAAGAAGAAAAGCTTCAAAATGAAAGAGGAGTTTGAGAGGAAGCCTTCCAAAACTAGGTATTTCACAGGGGGCTTCAGAAGAGAGAACAGCAGCCACCAGTATAAACAAAGTCACAGAAATGAAAGGTGCAAACTCGATTCCACACTTCAGTTTGGCTCCCACAGAACACAAGGAAAGAAGAGAAGAGGCCGGTGGGTGATAGTAGATCTCAGCTGTTAAGGAGAACTGTCTCCCATCAACAGCAGTCAACTCCCGGGAAGATTTCTGTGGAGACCACGACAGGGTCTGTGCTGCACTTCAGGAAGACAATGTGGCAGCACCATGTGGATGAGGGGAGCCACAGAGAACACAGATCCTCAGAGCTTGTCTCCTCAGCCTTCTCTTGGTGTGTACTAAGCTGGCCATCCTCCCTCCTTGGCTCCTTGTGTTCCACAAGGTGGCCCCCCATCTGCTTTCACTTTCCTCTCTCTCAAGGTCTTTTCCTCATAGCGCCATTTCTTCACTCAGTGCAGATGCCTCCAAAACCTTTCTCTCCCATCCAGGCCTCTTCCTGTCATTCCTCATGTACGGTTTCTGCATCCACTCCTGACAATCTGACTCAGATGCCTATAACAGAACCTGCCATCAACCCCACAAACATTCTTTGTCCTGTCTGTTAACATACTGACAATATTCTACTGTTGTACTCTCTTAGACTCAAAACCTTACTCATCTTTTGTATGGTACTAAGGTACATGTATTGAACCTAGGGTCTCACACATACCAGGCAAGCCCCCCACCACTGAGCTATATCCCCAAGTCTTCTTACTTTTGTATTTTGACACAGGATCTCATTTAGTTGCCCGCGCCAGTACTGAGCTCACTCTATAGTTTAGGTAGGCTTCAAACTTGTGATCCTCCTGCTTTAGCCTCCCAAGTAGCTGGGATTACAGGCCAGTGCCACCAGACGCCATCTCACATCACTACAGCTTGCCTACAATTTCCCGTATGAAGTCCCTTCTTCCCTCTCTGTGCTCTTGTTCACACTGTTCCCACCACCTTTCCTCTGTGCCCCATGGACCATGGGGAATGCCATTGTATCCCTGCAATCCTCTGATTTTTCTATTGAATATATTGTCTGTATTTCTTTTATAGCACATCCAAATTTTACTTTGCTTGAAAGCAATATAGTGGAGTTGGCAAACACTGGGCTTCAGACAGATTAGATATGCCCAGATAGAGTAGATTCAAATTGTATCTCAACTTTCTAGATGTGATCTTTGGGAAGGTTATGAAACTCTCTAGGCTTATTTACTCATCTGTAAGATGGGAATGTGTACAGTATTCATGCATCTATTCATATGAGTAGATTAAATGAGGAAAATTATGTAAAGTGCTAAACAGAATCCCTGGCACCTCAAGATTAGGTTTTAATCATTAGCTACCCTTTTTAACATCATCATTAAGAGGGAGTTTTCTCTATAAGGTCTCAATTAGAGACACTGGTAGCAATCTACAAAATGACCAGTTTGTTTTTTTTTTAGAGACAGGGTCTAGCCAAATAGTCCTGGGTGGCCGGGAAATCACTGTGTAAACCAGGCTGTCCTCAAATTTGCAGCAATCCTCCTGCCTCTGCCTCTCAAGTGCTGAGATTATAAGCATGGGGCACTACATCTGGCCTTTGAACTACAAAATTTCATCCTTTAAATATCCTTGAAATTTCCTGATGCTCTTTTCTCCCCAATTTACTGGTGCTCCCCCCACTCCCAACTTACCTGGTGCAAAATGGTGTATCGTTCACGATACAGCTCTGCTTTATCTCTAGCTATTCCAAATAATTTCGGTGCAGGGTGGTCAGTCATTAATAGACTAAAAAAAGAAGTATCTTTAAATATACACATGCTTAATACACAGAAGTAGGCCAAAACTAAACATGAACCTATAAACTTTGTGAAAAATGTACAACTGAAATTAACTGAAAAATCAATAAATAAACAAGGGTCTGGAGAGATAGCTCAGTGAGTAGGAGCACTTACTGCTCTTCCAGATGACCCAGGTTCAGTCCCCAGAACCCACATGGCAGCTAACAACTTAACAACTATCAGTAACTCCAATTCCAGGGGATCTGATACCTTCTTCTGGCCTCGTGGGCACTGCACACGTGATTCTATTTACATAATTGCAGGTAAATTATATGCACACATAAAAATTAAAAGTAGATTAAAATTTTAAAATGAAACAAAATCAATAAATGATACATGATTGTGGTGGTTTGAATGAGAATGTCCCCCATAGGCTTCAAGAATTTGGACATTTTGTCCCCAGTTGGTTGCACTGTTTTGGGAGGTCTTACAAGGTGGCCATGCTGGAGGAAGCATGTCACTGTGGGGGGCAGTTTAGAGAGTTCTTAAGCCTTGCCAGATCTCCAGTCACTGTCTGCGTCCTGTGCCTGCTTGAAGATGTGAGAGTTTGGCTTCTGCTCCTACTCCAGCCACCTCTGCCACCATGCCTCCTCACCATGATGTACTAATTCCCCTGGAACCATAAGCTCAAATGAACTCTTCCTTCTATAAGTTCTCTTAGTGTTTCCATCACAGCAACAGAAAAGTAACTAATACAATAATATACTTACGGAAGAAATTTTTTTCTTTCTGAATTGTACACAAAACGTGGAATGTCAAAAGCTCCAATGATACTGAAAATATGCTCTCTGAAAAACACCCCATAAAACACAGACCTGATTGATTAAAATTTAAGTATTATAAACGTCAATAATTTTCATTATAATATTTTGCATATATTTCCTTAAGCCATGTATCAATTTTTTTGTTTATTTGGTTTTTCTGAGACAGGGTTTAACTATGTAGCCCTGCCTGTCCTAGATCTTGCTATTATAGTCCAGGCTCTCAAATTCACAGAGCTCTGCTTGCCTTTCAATTTTTTTGGTAGATCAATTTTTTTTTTTTTTTTTTTTTTGGTTTTTTTGAGCAGGGTCTCCCTGTAGTCCCAGGTGTCCTAGAACTCACTATGTAGACCAGGCTGGCCTTGAACTCACAGAGATCCACCTGCCTCTGCCTCCCAAGTGCTGGGACTACAGGTGTGCGCCACCACACACCCGGCGATAGATCAATTTTTTATAGTGTCAAAAATAGTAAGAGGATAAAGTTTTTAGCTTGTATATTCTACTTTCAAGAGATAAGAGGGTGACAGATAATGGTGGTGACCCTGTAATCCTACCACTAAGAAGGCAGAAGCAGGCGGATCATCAGTTCAAGGTCAGCTTGGGTTATATAATGAGACTGTCTCAAACAACAAATGAAACAATAAATTATACTTTTGATGCTCAATTTAATTCATTCATAGTACACAGAATATAAAATAGGATTGTAGGGTAAAGCAGCATATTATTAATGTGCAAACACTATAATCTTACATCCTAGGAAAAAATAGTAAAGATGAATCATTTAATAACGAGATTTAAAATGTAGAATATCGCAGGGCCTGGTGGCACACGCCTTTAATCCCAGCACTTGGGAGGCAGAGGCAGGCGGATCTCTGAGTTCAAGACCAGCCTGGTCTACATAGCAAGTTCCAGGCCAGCAGAGGCTACACGGAGACCCTGTCTCAAAAAGACGAAAAAAAAAAAAAAAAGAAAAAAAAAAGTAGAAGCTTCTATTGTAAACTATGGATAGTTCTTTTCCCAAGAAAACTGAAAATAAGCACACAGTAGCACCTCCTATAGGAAAAAAGTCAGTTTACCCACATACATAGTTTCATCAACTGACTGACTGCACTCCTGGACTGCCGTTTCCACTACAGATCGTTCAATCATGTTCGATGACACTGAAAAGAAAGTTCAAAGTCAAATTTTAGAAACAAGCAGGAAGGGCTGGAGAGATGGCTCAGAGGTTAAGAATACTGGCTATTCTTACAGAGGACCCAGGTTCAGATCCCAGCATCCACATGGCAGCTAACAACTGTCTGTAATTCCAGTTCCAGGAGATCTGATGGCCTCTGTAGGCATAGCACACGTGGTGCACTTACATACATGCAGGTAAAATACTCATAAAAATTAAAAAAAAAAAACAAAAAAACAGACATGAAGAGCCAGGTGTGGTAGCACCTGCTATAATTCCAGCACTTAGGATCTACAGACAGGAAGATCAGGAGTTCAAGGTTATCCTTAGCTACAGAGGGAGTCAGAAGCCAATCTGGGCTGCATCAGACTGCATCTCAAAAAAAACAAACAGGGAAAAACTGGAGTTACTGAAGAGATGGCTCAGCGGTTAAGAGAACTTGCTGCCCTTACAGAGGGACCCAGGTTCAGTTCCCAGCATCTGTATGGCAGGTAGCAACCTCCTGCAACTGCAGTTTCAGGGATCCAATGCCCTCTTCTGCCTCCACAGAAACTGCACACACATGGTGCACATACATGCAAGCAAAACAGTCATATGTAAAAAAATTTTGATTAAATAAACAGGATAGTTTTTTATTCGAATTCCTTAATACAACTTGATTAATCAATAGTGAGTCATGTAGTCACTCACTCAAAAAGAAGTCTGGAGGTAGACACTTCAAGCATAAGGAGAAGCATGGGGCTAGGATTGGAGCACAATTGGTAGAATGCTTGCCTATCATGCAGGAAGCCTTGAATTTGATCCATAGCACCACATAAATCAGGCATGGTGGCACACACCTGTAATCCCAGAACTCAGGAGGTAAAGGCAGAAGGACCAAAACTTCAAGGCCATGCTTGGCTTCAACCTTGGATGTGAAGACAATCTGAGCTGCACAAGACTCTTGTCTCAAAAAGAAGGGGAAAAGCCCAAAGATGTCATAAAGATATAGTTTCTTCCTGTCATTTTCCTCTGCCAATTTGGTGACTGTGAAATAGAGAACTTTCTCTATGAACTCCAAAGAGGTAAGGAAAGAACTGTTATAGGGCCTCTCTCTGTTATAGGGGAGGAAGTCTTAAAAATTTTTTTTAAAAAAGGGGGGGCTACTGGAGAGATGGCTCAGCAGTTAAAAGCACTGGCTACTCTTGCAGAGGGCCCAGGTTTAATTCCCTGCACCCACATGGAGGCTAACAACCATTTGTAACTCCAGTTCCAAAGAAATCTGATGCCCTCTTCTGACCTCTGTGGGCACTGCACAACACAAGTGCGCTTACATATATGCAGGCAATACTCATACACATAAAATAAAAATAATAATAAATCGGGGGCTGGAGAGATGGTTCAGTGGTTAAGAACACTGGCCATTCTTGCAGAAGACCTGGGTTTAAATCTCAGCACCCACATGGCAGCTAACAACTGTCCATAACCACAGTTCCAGGGGATCCAACAGTCTCTTCTGTCTTCTATGGGCATTGCACAACCAGGTGCACTTACCTACTTGCAGGCAATACACACATACACATAAAATTAAAAATAAAATAAAATTAAATTAAAAAAGATTAAAAAAAAACCCATATTAAATACCTTAATTTTCACGGTCAATCGTTAATGATAATATTTCAATATATAAGTATGTGCCTTTATTTTGTAAAGATTATTTAGTAATATAAAAAGTTATCAATTCTGTGAGCTTCCAATTTCAATAAGGTTGTAGAAGTATAATTTAATGACAACTGCTAAACTTTGTTGAGACAATATTAATAGCAATAAGTAACAACTATTATTCACTATGCACTTGGTAAATGTCTGACATTACCTTCATCATTTTACAAGCATTAGTCCATTAAATAGATGTTTTGCAGCACTGATGTTCATATGCCCATTTCTTTTTCGTTTGTTTTTTGTTTTGGTCTTTTTGAGACAGGGTCTCTCTGTAGCCCCAGCTGACCTGGAACTCTCTATGTAGACCAGACTGGCTTTGAACTCAGAGGTCCGCCTGCCTCTGCCTCTCAAGTGCTGGGATTAAAGGTGTGCACCACCAGGCATAGCTTTTTTTCTTTTTTGGTCTTTTTGAGACAGGGTCTCCCTGCAGCCCCAGCTGGCCTGAAACTCACTTCGTAGACCAGACTGACCTTGAACACAGAGACCTGCCTGCCTTTGCCTCCTGAGTCTCCTGAGTGCTGGGACTAAAGATCTGTGCTACCACACCTGGCTTAATATGCCCATTTCTTATTGATGGGGAGAGCAACTCTGAGGAACAGCCCAAGAAGACAGCTAGACAGGTTATTATTTTTATTTTTTATGTGTATGTGTGTATTACATGCATGTAGGTAAGTACACCTGTGTAATTCAATGCCCGTGGAGGACAGAAGAGGCTGTGTGTGCATATATTGCATGCATGTACGTAAGTATACCTGTGTAGTGCAATGCCCATGGAGGACAGAAGAGGCTGTCTTCTGCAAGAACAACCAGTGTTCTTAACGACTGAGCCATCTCTCCAGTCCCCCATATACTATTTTTAATGTATATTTTATATATAATTAATTATAAGCATCATTTCCTAATTTTTTATTACAAAGGATTTTTTTTTTTTGAAACAAGGTCTCCCTGTAGCTTCAGATAGCCTGGAACTACATGAACCAGGCTGGCCTTGATCTCACAGAGATCTGCCTGCCTCTGGCTTCCAAGTGCTGGGATTAAAGGCATGTGTAAATGAATTTTTTAAGGAAAGGTATGTTTAAACTTCTGCCTTTGGAGGCCAGGTGTGGTGACACACTCCTTTAGCTCCAGACCAGCCAGAGCTATACAGTGAGACCACCACTGTAGGCTAAAAAAATTTTTTTAAAGAACCAAATTCAAGAGTTAAGTGCAGAAAGGAAGCCCTCCCCAGAGGATTAGGCACTGCAAAAGGGCCCTAGTGGAACATCCTGAGGTTACAACTGAACTAATCCCTTGGGGGAAAAAATGCTACTATGCATAAATCACTGGAATAGCTTCATAATGAATCTTCAACTTCCACTTAGGTATGCTAACAATTTAATCATTATCAGGAAATGTTACTTACAGGGCTGCTTTTCAACAGCATCGATGATCCTGTCTAGGGTATCTTCAAATTCTAATTCATTAACAGACTGAAGAGCTTCTGTGAGATACTTAGTGGCTTCACTAGTAAGAGAAAGAAAAGATGAGACAAGTCACTGATAAAGACCAAAAATTGGGTTGGAGAGATGGTTCAGCAGTTAAGAGCACTGGCTGGCTGCTCTTGAAGGGGACCAGGGTTGATTTCCAACACCCATATGCTGACTAACAACTGTCTGTAACTCCAGTTCCAGGGGATCCAACACCCTTTTCTGGCCTCTGTGGACTGTGCATGAACATGGTGCACCTACATACAAGCAGGCAAATACTCATACACACAAAAATAAAGGCTAAAGCCCGGCATGGTGGCACACGCCTTTAATCCTAGCACTCAGGAGGCAGAGGCTGGCAGATCTCTGTGAGTTTGAGGCCAGCCTGGTCTCCATGGTGAATCCAGGACAGTGGGGGCTACAGGGAGACCCTGTCTCAAAAAGACCAAAAAATAAAATAAAATAAAACAAAGGCTAAAAATTTCCTCAACATTCAGAAACTGCCCATTCCTCCTATCAAGTGGTCCTCATCTTGCCTACGCTTTCTGAACAAAAGTATCCTAACCTTAGCTAATACAACTGTTTTGGCGGGGGGTTTTTGTTTGTTTGGGGGGTTTTTGGGTACCAAACTTTTATTTAAATCTTATACAACACAAGATTTATAGAAAGTCAATGTAACTGAAAATCTGGTTCTCCCTCCAAAGCCTGATATATCCAAAGTGTGAAACAGTTAATTAAAAAATAAGCAAAC